AAAGGCATTTTGAGTTTCTGTTAAAAGTTACTCCCTCAACAATCACATGGTGTTTGGAATCTGACTGTTGGATTTCTATGCATTTTTAAAGGTTTTGCTGTCAAAAACAGATGGAAAGCTGCACAGCTTCAGGAATTAAATTAATATTTTCTATACAAAACGATGCAAATTAATATTTTCTATGCAAAAAGGTATTTCTTGTGTATGCTTTTAGTCTGCCACTCCTAAAAGTGCCTGCAATATGACATCAGTGCTGGCAGAAGGCAGTGCCTCTGAGGAGAAGGACTGCCATCCTTGTGGGGAGGAAGGAGGTTCTGGGAATTTGTACCAGTGAACCTATCCCAGTAGGATGCCAATGCACATGCAGAGTTATGGATGTTGTGGCAGTGCACCACCAGGGAAATGGAGTAGCAGGATGGAAGAGGAGCCTCTGTGGCAGCATAGCAGCGTATGAGGGTCGTGGAAGGACTATCAAGAGCCAGAGAGCCGGTGTGTGTTTTGCACAACATAAAGGTGGGGTCAAAACTGAGCTGCAGGAAACAGCTCTTGGCATGGGTTTACTTCAACTGTGGTAGAAAGGAGCTGACTCCAAATTCTTGGGAAAACAGTACATGGTCATATTGTTTGATGCAGGTTGAAAAAAGGCCTTTTTCAGTCCTCCGTACAAAAGTGAATAGGATATGAAGAGCTGTTTTTCTTGAGCTTGTGCCTTTTTTGTGGAGAAGGACTAGTTCCTCCTGGAGTTTCTTCTTAATGTCCTTTCATTTTGGACACTGGTTTCTTTTGTGTCGGAGTACCACAGAAGCTATAGAGGTTAGAGCTGGGGGGAAGGGGGGATGTTTGGGGTTATTTTTTTGTTTGCTGGCTTTTTGTTGTTGTTTTATATTTGTTTGGGTTTTTGTTTTGTTTTTGGTGGGGATTTTTGTGGCTTTTTTTGTTTTGGTTTTGTGGGGTTTTTTTCTCTCATGGAAGAAAGCTGCTTAAAGCTTTTAATAAGGTCATACTGCTTTCTGTCATTGCAGACTTGCAGTAAGGTTTTATTTGTTTGTATTGCTAGGAGCCTGTTTCAAAGCATTTGTACTTGAACTGCTTTATTCTGTGTTTTGAATGGATTCCTAGTCCATGAAATGGTTCTTTCCAGTGCATTGGGCTTGCAGCTACAGTGCTTGGAAGCCTGTGCAGTTCTGGAAGGTGGGTCACTTCTGGAGCAGGTCAGCTCTGGCTGCAGTTCAGCCTCATCCTGAAGATCTGTCTCTGGAACTAGCAGGGAGCAGACGTGCACAAGTGGACCAGGCATCAAGTGATTTCTCCCAGTCAGTTAGCAGTGAAAGTGTTGTTAAGTGAAGAAATGTATTCAGGACACAGACAAATGTACTGAAATAATCCTTCTATGGGACAGTATCTGGAGTGCCAAAAAGGCAGACCTGTTTTTTTAAAGGAAATTAGCATGTAGATGGGTAGCCATCTTCTTCCAAAACTGGGGAATAAGAGGCTATATGTGGGCAGATGGGTCACAGGGAGTTAATTGTACTTGAACCTGTTCTTCTAGCTTTGTGGAGAGGGATACAAGGCTACCTCCCTGACCAAGGTGATGTGAAGCTGAGGGCCTGTCTTGGCAGCGGGCTTCAAATTAGAAAGAAACTTATCTTTTTGGTTGTTGTTGGGCTTTGTTAACAACAGCTTTACACTGAACTTTATTAGGAACAGCTTTCCACAGGGACTGTAAAGCCAGTGTGGAATTGTGCTGTGATGGAGGCAGTCAGGTCAGCCTTGGAACTCCTCTTAGGGCTCACAGCTCCAAGGCTTTGTGTCTTCAAAAACTGTCCTCCTGAACATAAGATCATACTGAGTTGTTAAGGAAGTTCCTAAATATCTAACTGTCCACACTGCATAGGCATATGAGAACGACTAGGATCTGTTGATGTACACATTTATTTCTTCATTAGTTTCAGGTGTTGAAATGTACAGAAAAAACGCATGGAAACACGGTATCTGAAAACATACTTTTGTATAATCCTTGGCTTTATCAAAACATACATTTGGGGATTTACTTCTCTGAATGGAAATGGATGCTAAAAACTCAGTCACCTCTCCAAAACAGCCAAGTTTTAATGGATTTGTAAGGAGCCATTTACAGTGTAGTAGCTGCCATTCCTGTTTCAGCTTTTACATATGTGATTAATGGTTGCTGTGTGTTACTGTAGAGGTAAAATCTTTCTGTGCCATAAGTTCTGTACTGTTTGTCTGAAATTTGAATACATAGTCAAGGAGTTCACTACTTGGAGAAACAACATTTGATGCTTTTATATGTTTGAAAAAAATCTGTATGATGTAAAGAAAGGTGTTGTCTATATATGCATAACGTGTGTAACTGTATTCAGAATATCTTTGTTACTATTCTTCTAGACTGTCTCCACAAAATGGCTCTCAGCAATCTGAAAGATGGTAAACTCACTGGGAGATTTTTCAGCCTTATTTTGTTCTACCTGAGTAAGCAAATAGGGTGCTTAGAATTCTGACAGCTCCACTGTTTCCTGGTTTGAGTTTCAGGAATGTAACATGATAAGGTGTAAACGGCATGTTGAGGCCTGTGAAATTACTCAAGGTTGACCTTAAATATGCATAGGAAAAAAACCAAACACAAGTGGCTGATGTAGAATTTCATTGAAAACAAACAAACAAAATAATTAGCCCAGAAAAAAGGCCCAAATCATTGCTGGTTAGCTGATGAGATGATCCCAAAAGTGCGTAGTTAAGGTGGCACAAAGGCAGTTCAAGTAAAGAAGGGTAAGAAAGATGTGTGAGCTTTTTAAGGAGTTTAATTGTGCTAAGTATCTATTGGCTTATCCAACTATAGATCCAATAGAAAGACTTTTTGCTAAGTATTTCAGGGAAAAGTGCAATGTGGCTGTCCTTGGGAGGATTTAAACTTCGAATGACTCTGGTGGAAATCAAAGACTGAAAGAGCTGAAGCTCCTTGTTGTGTTGAACACCAGACAGCAGCTGAGCCCCACATGGCCCAGTGGGAGGGGAGAGAACGGGAAGGGGGAGCAGTGAGGAAACCCATGAGCTGGTGGCAGGACAGTTCACCTAGTCGGGTCTTGCTCAGGATTGTGCCCCTTGACTCTTGCAGTGAAGGATTTGTAAAGCAGTGGTATTTACTGATGGCAAACTATTCAAGGTCAGGGATCTGCTTCTTGCCAAAACAGGACCAGGTCTGCTTTTCAGTCCCTAGGATTCAGCTGCCGGCTGATACCGCCACCTGATGGCAAGAGCAGCCCTTGGCTCAGCATTTCGGGCTTTGCTGCTTTCCACTGATGGTTTCTACCTAGGCCTGCCTGCTCAGGCTGCATCAGAACAGTTGGCAGCGGGACTTGAAATCTGGAGTTCTGTTTTGTCCTCCTGCTAGTCAGAGAAGATTTCAAGGCTATAAAACTGGCTTTAAAAGTCAAGAAGTGATTATTACCCTCGAATCACAAGTATTTTGCTTTACCTGACTGCTGCTTTATATTTTTGGCCAAATATTGGTGCTTAAAAACCAGGTAGTTTTATTGTGAGGACAGTACACAAACTCTTCTGCAAATGAGGGTCTTGCACATCCCTGTAGCAGAATCCCCAGGCTGGAGCCGCCTTGGATCCTTTCAATGCCAGCTGCCATTCAGTGTTAAGAACTTGAGCTATTAAGAGTGGGTGTCTTGTGAATTTTTAGGAAGGCCCTATGTAAACTAGGGTGGGGTTGTTGAATTATTCTGCTTTGACAGCCTAGCATGTCATTTGACTACATGACAATCAAGTTAAAAAATAATAAATACTTAATCTTCAAGAAAAATTTTAAATATAACTTAGCTTCTTGAGTGGTAGTGATTATGTGCTTATTTGCTCAAGCACATGAGACTTGCATCAAATGAGGTGTACTATACTTAATCAACATCGCTTGCAGATGCTACTAGGTACCATGAAATGTGTGCTTTTCAGTTGGCTGCCTGATTATCTGAGGAGTTAATAATTTTAATTTACTTATTTGTGTCCTGGTGGTCTACCCGAGCTCCTGCCTTAGTACACAATTCCTGTGGTGCTGGTTGGCTTTGGATCAAGCAGCAGTTAAGGAAAGAAGGGATTTACATGGTGCCTTCTGTGAGGTGGATTTCCTCTAAGTCTGGCAAAGCTGTGCATGGGAGCCTTGAGGTGATGCCAGTGTGGCCTCCTTGAGCAGCAGGCAGGGCTGACAGGAGGCAGCTAAAACAACTCTGCTGTGTTTCACTTTAGTGTCCCGAGTATTGGGAAGTACTTCCTGTGTAGGTTGTTTCACTTGTGTGTGTATTTCTTACCTCCTTGATTCTTCTCTACCAGTGAAGAGAGGAAAAACCCCTCAAAAAAACCCTACTGCGGAGTGGGCTCAACTGAGTGGTTCCCAGTTCATGCCATTGTCAGACTAAGAATGTTCCCAGTGGGACTGGTTGTAAGAAAATTCTTAATTGTAGTCTGCACACTGAGTGTGGTTTAAATAAAAATGCTTCTCTAGGGCTGGCTGCTTGCTCTGTCTGGGGCTCCAGGGAGGCTATTGAGGCTAACCTGAAAAGTCAAGTGATTTCTTCAGCGTCTCTCAAGACTTTTTCTATTTTATTTTTTAGATGTTAGAATGTGGGTTTAGGGGATTATTAAACCTTGACTTGATTCAGGTTTTTGAATTACTCTAATTACTTCAGGGTTGATATCTCAATACATAGTTGCTTTGTGCTTTATAAATTCATTTGAGTGAATGCTTTTCTAATGCTTTTATGTAATGTTATAAGAAACCTGAATGGTTTTGGTTTTTTCATGAATACTCGATTTAAAAGAAATGGATTGAGGTAACAGTTATTTAAATTCTGAAGTGTTTGTTACTAGTCACTCAGTGAGCAACACAATCTTTGTTGCTTATCCTTAGGATGTGGTGATGTTGACTAGAGGAATACCAAGAAGCTCAGGTAGCTTCTTCTTTTTGCACTTGTGTTCTCCAGGTGGCTTCTCTACTGTGTTTCTGGTGCGCACGCCCAGCGGGACGCGCTGCGCGCTGAAGAGGATGTGTGTGAATAATGTGCCAGACCTCAACATCTGCAAGAGGGAGATCACCATTATGGTAAGAAGGGCATTACTTGGAACTGGAAAATGTGTCAGTTTGTAGTGTACACACAGCAAATGTCTCTCCAGTGTTTCTAGACACCTCTTGCTTTTGATGCAGTACTTCTGATTTTCCACCTGTACTTTCAGAAACTAATGCTGGCTTTAGGGTTGGTGCATGATGAATTTCTAAAATTAAAGTATGTATTTGATACCTCAAATGAAATGTATGTGTTCTGTTTGGTCAGTGTGTCTGGTTCCCAAGCAAAAGGACTTTCTTCCAGAGCTGCAGTGGCAACTGAAAATGGCTCTTTGTTTTCTCAGTACTGAAGTGTAATGTCCATTTTCTTTTTCAGAAAGAGTTATCTGGGCACAAGAACATTGTGAGTTATTTGGACTGTGCTGTCAATTCACTAAGTGATAACGTGTGGGAGGTGCTCATCCTGATGGAGTACTGTCGAGGTAAGAGTCATTGCCTAGGTTTCCTGATGAAAATATTTATTGCTACCACCTGTGATTTTGCTTAAAACTGTTCCCTTAATATAGGAGGGTAACCTGCATGTGTCACAGCTGGAATCCAAGTAGAGTTTGTTTTGCTTTTCTGCTGGCATTGCTACCTAGGCACTGGGCAAAATGTCAACGTTTCACAAAGCTGTGTAATTAAATGTAGTTACAAACAGGGAAATTCTCTACGTATGAAGTGCTGTTCTGCTGGTGGTGCTAAGCAACAGGTACCTGGAATGTAACTCGATAGGAAAGATTAGCAAATTTTCATCACTCTTCTCCCTCTGCTATTTTTGTTCAAGATGACAACATTGAAGAAGCTTCACCTGATAGGTGATTTCCTACAAAAGAGCATAGTAAAGTTCAGGTTGATAGTGCTGTCCAAAAATATGTTAGCCATGTGTTCCTGCTTGGCAGTGTAACTTTGTTTGAAACGATACCTAAGTCAGGGACTGTCTATTTGGGGATTCTGTTCCCCTCATTTCACATATGTGTGGGATAAACTTGCCAGTGAGTTTAACTTGTGAAGTTTGTCTAAAATCTAGGGAGACTGGAATCTGGCCTTCTAGTATGAGATGGTTGGTAACCCAAGTAACTGGTCATACTTTGGAACAAGTGCTGCTGGCACAAAGTAAATACTCCTAGAAAGAAGCCTCCCATGGTCTGTATTGCTCAACCAATACTTTGAGCTGAGGTGTATGTGGGTTATATTTGCAATAGAAGCAGTGAGCATTGTAGTTTGTGCAATCTGTACCATAAGGAGCAGAAAACAATGTAGCTTAATGTAGATTTTGGGGAATGGATTAAGGAGAACTTAAAAACTAATGGCCACATTTTTGGCCCTTTACCCTGCTTGTATAGGTGCATTTCTGTACCTCTGTGGGAGCTCAATTCTGACTCGCTGTTGGTAGTACTGTTTCCCTAATGGTCCTGGTAGATAGCCCCGTGGATGTCAGCTGTCAGATAACTTGACAGTGGCAGGCTTCCTGTGTTGTAAGCATACTTGTTTGACAGAATGCCCACCAAGGGCCTGCTGTGTCTCTGCAAGAATCCTTTTTCATCTCTGTGTGCAGTGAGCATTGTGATAGGAAGAGCTTAGTGGTGTCTGGTACAATTACTGCAAGAAACAGGGAAGTATTGATTCTCAATCTTAAAAGAAACCTATGAAAAGGGAAAGGGAGGTCTTCTTTCTCAGAGGATGAGTTCAAGGCTTTGTTTCCCTCCTTCCCTGCCTCCCCTTTCTTCCTCCTTTGTCTCCCAGAAAGACAGAGAGGGTGTTTAGAGAATAAATGCAGGAACTCAGTTGACAGAGTTTGGGTTATGGATCCTATTGCAAGAGACAGGTTTGAGGTGGCATATTGGTGTGATGGATTCTTTTTTTGTGTTTGCAGCAATTGGTTTCAAACCTGTTTCAGCCTCAGGGGCTGGATTGCTTTCATTTGAGTCAATAGTTTTTCTCTTTAGGGTGATAGAATAGTGTGCGGTTGGAAAACTAGGTTTGTTTTGTTCAAATACAGTAACTATGGAAAACTTTGCTGCATCGTGTTTGTGGACTTAATGCATATAACTCTTTTACTTCTGTACCTGCTAGGAATTATTTGAAAGAGATTTCTCCTGTTTCTTTAGCTGGGCAAGTTGTGAACCAGATGAACCAACGTCTGCAGACAGGCTTCACAGAGTCGGAAGTAATGAGAATATTTTGTGACACCTGTGAAGCTGTTGCCCGGTTACATCAGTGCAAAACACCTATAGTTCACCGGGATCTCAAGGTATGACTTTCACTGTAAGAAAATCCAGGCTAAAATAGGGGATCTGCTTGAAAAGGATTGAGGATATGGGAGAGATTTCTGTAAGACAGGTTTCTAGTTGGGAGCTTGCTGTTGGTAGAGCTATAAACACATTAACCATAGGACATCATTCATTGCTAAAACAAAGTTTAGCAGTTGATTTTTGCGAAAACTTCCTGTTTGTGTGTGAACCTGGAAATGCATGCTTTTGTTAACTTATTTTTTGTGCGTTGATTTTCTTTGAAGGTGGAGAATTTATTGTTAAATGATAATGGGAACTACGTTCTCTGTGATTTTGGCAGTGCCACTAACAAATACCTGAACCCTCAAAAAGATGGTGTTAATATGGTTGAAGAAGAAATTAAAAAGTAAGTTCGCTTTTAGGTGGTCTGTCATAAGGAGTGACTGTGCTGCCAGGAAACTCCATGTATTATAGTGTGGTGTGCATGTATCACTAATAAGCTGAAATTATGGGCTGATCTTGAACTAATTTTGGTGTAAATATAGTAAAAGATGGCAAGTATTTGATAAGATTTCCTCCATTTATTCACAGATTGTTTTTCAAAACTGTGATTCTTAAAAATAAAACTGTTGGGAAAAAGCATGCTGTTGCGAAAGTAAATTGTTCAAAAAGATATGTCTGGCTCCTGGCCATTTTAGGAGTTGGATATTTTTAGTTTGTGCTTTTGTAATACTGCTAAGCAAATACTTGCTAAGATACCAAGAATTAATGTAAAGAAGCACTGCAGTGGATTTATGTAGTCTCATTTGCAGAGTATGGTCCATGTCCATTCTCCTGAGACTGATCAGAAAAATATTTCAGCTTTTCTTAGACACACTCTTGAAAACATGTTTTATTATTGTTTTGCATTTCTGGGCTAACTACTGCAGAAGGGTAAATGCAGGCTGCTTATTTTCAAGTCATGAAGTGAAACAGGCTTTTTCTGGCTCTGAAGTGTTTGAGCTGCCAGCTGAGCAGTTGTTTTGGGATGTTAGTGTTTTGAAGTCTGCGTTCTGTGTGTTGCAGTGTGGGACAGGGAGAGCCCTTGCAGGACTCTGTAGTTGCCCCCCTCAGGTGATTGACTGCATGTACACAGTCACTCCAGTAAAAGTCTGTGCTTTGGGGGAATAACACTAAAAGCCAATTTTACCTGACTTAATGCTTATTCTTGTGTATGATAGTTTGTACTGGTGCTCCAGACATTATCTGTGATGCTGCAAATGCACTAATGAGAAGGATGCAAGACAATTCCAGGCACATGTCTGGAACTTGTGTAACTGGTGTGTGCACGGTGGATCAAGAAAACGCCCTCTTACTTCTGAGGAGAGATTTTTAGCTATGTCCTCTGTGTTTTGTTGCTAGGTACACTACCCTATCATACAGAGCTCCCGAGATGATCAATCTATATGGAGGAAGGCCAATTACTACCAAGGCAGATATCTGGGTAAGCAAAAAATTGGATAGTATGATATATGGGACTGGTTAAGGAAGGGGGAATTAAAACCAGCATTGACTGACTGAAAAATTAATTATTGGAAAATGAAATAGATTGGGCAGCTACAGAACACAGAACAGTAGAGATATCTTGGGTAGTAATATTTTGTAAATAAAATTACTCCCGTGTTTGATTTTTTAAAAAAACTTAAATGAAGTGGGATGTGATTTAAAACATCTCTTCTTATGTTGGCTCTGGTTTCTCCTTGATAGCCCCATGCGATTTCTTATGGAAACCTGTTGCTGGTATGATCAAGAAGGGTATTTTTAGTAGTTGATGTTCAGAGAAGAAAAAAAGGGGAGATTAAGTGCAAAGAGTAGTGGTATCTGTGGGTGATGTGACACAGAGAATGCAGCCCTTGGTGTACTATGGTTTGTACTAGGTGGTACAGGAATCAGTGGAAGAGCAAGTGCTGTTAGAGCTGCTTTAAATCCATCAGCTTGTCACATCAGCTGTATTCCAAAGTGCAGCTCCTGCACTGTGGCCAGGGTGCAGCACCCTCTTAGTGCAGCCCTGTGGTAGCAAGGGCTTCCTCTCCTCACAGGGCTTGTGTTTCTTTTCCAGGCACTGGGCTGCTTGCTGTATAAACTCTGCTTCTTTTCCCTTCCCTTTGGAGAAAGCCAGGTTGCCATTTGCGACGGGAGCTTCACTATCCCGGATGGCTCACGGTACTCCCACAGCGTGCACTGCTTGATCAGTAAGTACACAGGCAGTGGCAGCAGCCCTTCCAGCTCACACAGCCAGCAAAGCACAGCAGCTGCTGCTAAGCACCATCGCTGTCAGCACCTGTCACGTTCAGCTGTGCCTCTCACCTCCCCAAGAGCCTTGTTGGAGCTCAGGGCAACCTTTTGGTTTCTCTTTCGGTGTCCATAAATCTCAAAGGAATAGGGGAAATGCCAAGAGTGCTTACATTTATTGTTTAGCTGTGTTTATTCATGTTTTTTGCCATTAAGTGTGTATTTCTGTGGAATGTCGGACTGCTGACAGTATGTTCTGTCCAAGTTGGAGAGCTGTGTTTAGATAAATTTGAGATGCAGCTTTAGCCCAGCCACATCAGTGTAAATAGATTAATTGCACTGGGGACAATTTTAGTAGTAGTTGCAAAGTTTATACCGTAATGAAAATCTGGAAAATTTTGGGCAGCCCCAAGTGTCAGATGTGAGCTCTGGCAAAAGTTTGGAAGCACTAAGTGTGTGGAGGAAAATTTTGGATGAGAAGCAATTCTGAGGTTTGTGATCCATCCATTACCCAGGCACAGAGATGTGGGAGCTAATATTTTCAGTAATCATCAGTTTTGTCTTTGTTTTCAGTTTAGAGTAGGCTCACTTGAAAGAGTGAGATGGACAGCATATGAAAAATTCAAAAGGTTTGAATAGGAGCTCTTATAACTTTAAGCTAGGGATGTGTTGACTACATAGTTTGTGCTTTTATATAATAAGCAATACCAAATCCAAACCACTTTCAGTGCACATTCATAATTGAGAAACAGGAGTTATGATAGTAAGCACTTGCCTTCTGCCAGTACTGACAAAATGTGATATATTTTAAAAAAATTTAAGTACTTTCCTCTGTTACGGACTTACCTATTTTTTAGAAAAGTATGGGTTTTAATCCTTTCTCCTAGGTATGAATGCAGATTTTTTAATTCAATGAATAGCTGTGCCAAGATGAGCAATACTGACATGGAATATATGTGGGTGAGACAGAATGTCCTTGTGTAAACTTCCCTTCTTTCCATTTGGAGTGGAAATCATAAAAAGCTGCACTTGGTCATAAAAGGTATTTCAGGGACTGTGGCTTCATCTCAGCTGTTTTACAAGACAGTGACTGGGAAGGAAGAAACTGAACATGCCCCACCCCATGAATTTAACATTTCAGAATCAAGTGGCAGGAGTCACTTCAGTGAGTGTTGTGCTTCCATGTCATGGTGCTGCAACTGAGTGCTGGAATCTGTTAAAAATTAAACTTGAAGTGGACTGTACAGGACATGAAATAATTACTTTATGTAAAATTCTTGGATCTGTCGGATACTGTTTTTTCGGCCTGTGGGGGATATTTGTAAAATGATGTGTTAGGTTGGCTATTCTACTGAGCTTTTGTGCAAGTGTAGTTCACTTTGCTCATCAAAAGTGAGAAGTTAAATTTTCATAGTGTTCATTTACTTGAATTCAGAATATATTTTTAGAGGCTTAGGTTTTTTAGAAAGGGTATTTTATTGCTTATGTGGGTTCTCTGGTTTTCTAGGCAAGATTGCTGGATTATGTATGCTGTGTTATATTTGATTTCTTGGAAAAACATCAAACCTTTTAATTTGGGAAGCAAATGTTTGAGAGGGAGCATAAGGAATTTTGTCTTGTCAGGGAAAGATCCTTTTATTCATGGAATTGTATTTTTTTATATGCAAAATTGTTCATAGTCAATGAAACCTACAGACAAAAGTCTTAGCATGATGTAGTAAGATATGTCAATCTTGTTTACACTGAATTTTGTGTTAATCCTGGAAAATGTTAGTGCAGTGAGCTGATTTTGTGTTGTTTCTCTCTGCAGTTACTAATTCCTACTTCAATTTAGCTCTGTTTTGCACAGCTGAGTGTCAGCATATCAAGCAGCATACATGTTCTGCAATTGTTTTTGACCCTATAAACTATTTGACTTGACAAAAAGTATTGAAAAAAGTCCCCCAAACCCAAGATAACAGTGCAAATTACTCTTGTGGTGATAAGCTGATTTGGTGGAACTGCTGGATTTTTTCCTTGCTGGTAGCATACTGTCTCAACAGGCTTTTTGTGATCTAGCACTGATAAGTCTTATCAATTTTTGCAGGATATATGCTTGAACCAGATCAAGAGAAGAGACCTGATATCTTTCAAGTATCTTACTTTGCCTTTAAAATTGCCAAAAAGGAGTGTCCAGTGTCTAATATTAATGTAAGTACTCAAGTGTTTTCAGTGTCTTATGCAGTACTGATGTACTGTCATAGGAGCTGAGGGATCACATCAGCTCTGTCACATGCCTGGTTCCTGAACGTAACACAGAGCAGAGGACACGTCAAGCTGATGTTGTGTACATGCAGTATGAGCTCTCTATAAATAAAATATGTTCTTAATTTTGAGGACATAGCTCCGTGGACACTATTGATACCATACCAATACCCAGTTTAGGATTTTAGCCATTAGTAATCTCTTAATACAATCAGTATGAAATATCCAGATGTTAACCTTGTTGACAGTAGAAAGCTGAATGTTGTAAATGGAGTGTCAAGAGCGTGTATGTTTGCTCTTGGATAAACACTTCCCTTAGCAATTGTGGTAGTCCAGTGGAAGGACTCCAGTGAGTTGGAAAGCAAACAGAGCAGTACTTGAGTCAGCCTGCCTTCTTTCCCCCACCCTTGGTTTCCATGGGGGTCTGAGCTTGGTCTGCTAGATGCCTTGCTTCACAGATGTAATTACATCTGTAGTGCAATGGAATCTGGGGACTTTTAGCTAATGTTGAGTATAAAGTGGTTCTCAAGACAAGCATCAGGAAAAATTCATCCCAAAATTGAGTATACAACAGATACCGATGGTAGTAATTTCTGCCTTCAGAGGCAGACCATTGAATTTTCTGAGATCCCTTTGAATTCCTTTTTTCCTTTATTGTTGTAGAAGGATCTCAGTAAATTTGAGTGTTGCCTTTTCGAAATACCAATTAAAATAAACCAGGAAGTCTTGAAATACTTGATAATTATCTGTCTCTATCATTTGTGACCAGGTTTAGATTTGCATTTGTTATGTGCATTTGTCATGAGAGTTGATTTCTTTTCTCCTTTGCTCCAAACTGCCATATTTCATATAAAACAGAGTCTTGGTGATATGGGATTCATTCAGGGATGAGGTTGGGGGTAAGATAAAAGCCTGTCAAAGCTTTGGTGCTGCATGGTTTTCTGGAATTTGTATTGTGGTGGAAGAGCAGAGTGTGCTAAAAACAGTTCCCTCCAAAGATTGGTCTTTGCTTTAGAACTTGATGCTGAAGTGAGTCTCTGTGCAGTCACACAAAAGTGCTTGGAGACAATGTTGTATGTTATTGTTGATGGTTGGCAGTGTAAATGAAGTGAAACAGCTGACAAGAGAGTCAGATCAGTCAAGTTCTGCTTTGAGGAACCTGCAACACACTGAGAGGATATAGAGATACTGGTAAGGTAAACCCTTTTCCAGTTACAGCTGTGAGTTCTGCATGAGGCCTTGTCATGTGGAGGTCTTGAATCCAAGTATTCCTCTTCAATATGTAAGAAATTTTTTTCTTTCAGGATTTGTTTTTTTAATTTATTCAAATTTGTTTTTCCCAAGAATTCTCCTGTCCCCTCAAGTCTTCCTGAGCCCATGACAGCTAGTGAGGCAGCTGCTAGAAAAAGCCAAATAAAAGCAAGGTGAGCAGAGGATGTCACTTTTCTTTCTCCTAATGTTGTTAAGCTATGTTTGTTTAAAATCTGTTTTCATACACTAATGGATTAGTGAAGTATTACCTCAGTAGAAGTCAGTAGATAAACTACTTTTCTAAGAACTTGAACTCTGTTTGGATTCCACTTCTTTGCTTTTTTCATTATATTGGGAATCCATGAAGGGAAACTGATATTTTGAAGGCAAATGGGTTTTGTTATTTGTTTTTGAGAAATGGAAATTTTTATGGAGAAGGATTCACTTTTTTTGTCCTTGTTAATAAAAACAAACCCAAAAACTGTGGGAATTCCTCTCTATGTTTCTGATTTCTGCTATGATCTAGTGTGTATGCACTTAAGGCTGATGCTGGTAAATCCTTTACCCTTTCTTTCTTTGTCAATGGAAGTTATTAGGGTTTTAATCTCCCAGCATGTGTGACTTGGATACTTTTACATTCAGCTATAATTATCAGCTCCATTTGCAAAAAAAGAGCAAAGAAAACCTGAGAGATTCATAGAAGTAGAAATAATTTGAACTAACACAAAATGTTTTCCTTTCTCTTATTTCTCGTACATACGGATAGTAGTCCTGTTTCTAATTGTAGGGTTGTAGACTCAAGCACAGGACTGGAGTTTTTGGAAACGAATGTTAAGTTACTTACGTGCAGTGCTGAAATAGAGTAGCACATGATTAAGACATAACTCAGCTGTTAAGAAATGTACTGTGTCAAATTTGAAGCAGAAATATTTGTCTTTTCATCAAGTATCTTACATGGAAAAAACTGCCCTTTCAGAATAACAGATGCTGTTGGACCAACAGAAACCTCAATTGCACCACGACAAAGACCAAAGGCCAATTCGAGCACTGCCCCTTCCAGTGTGCTGGCAATCCAGAGCTCAGCAACTCCTGTCAAAGTACAAGTTCCTGGAGAATTTGCTAATCATGGGCAAAAAGGTAACTTGAAGTCTGAGGATGGATGAAAATAAAGAAGCAACTGTGCCTCTATTCTTCTTCTTGCTCTATTGAGATAACATTTAAAACTCAGTTTTATCAGTCTTATTTTTTTATATACCAAAAACCAGATCTTCATTTCTGAAAGATTCTGAATGTGTGAGCTGTAAATTTGAGGTGCCACAAAAACTAAATTCAGATTGAGAAGTGAAAGTGTTTTTTTCCTTGTGTTTAACACTGGTTTTTGAATGAACTTGCTCACTGCAGACAGAAGTCCAGGCTTGTTTTGACTTGTGAAGAATTCACAAAAAGTACAGAGCCCTTCTGTATCAAACTGGGTTTTTTGTAGTAGGAAAAATATTTTCCTGTGCCTCAAGAAGTCATGAGAAAGCACCAATAAGTTGGTGGTATTTGTAGGCTGGAAACATGTCACTTCTCTCATGACTGACACCTTCATTCCACATGGTGCTGTGGGTGTAGGAGGAATTAGGAGAAACTCACTCGAGTGAAATGGGTTTTTGAAAAATCCTTGTTCTTTTTCTCATTCAGAAAGAGTTATAGGTCTGATAAATATTCTTTTACATAGTTGACATTTAGACCTAGAGCACTTTCTAATTGCATTTCCATGCTGTTACATGTCTGCTGAAGAAAAGGTGGAGTAGTTTCAGGGATGGATTGGAAAAGTCTCAAAAGGCCACTGAGAATGTTTAGTACTTTTTACTAGGTGGGGATCCATATAACATCCAGCTTGAAAAGCTTTTTGTGTTATGACAAGGAACAGATCATTCATGGGCATTTCAGAATGTAAAACATTGTGCAAGAGAGAAATTTATGGTAGTACGTGTCCCTTAAAAGGTGCAAAATTAATCAGGTGTTCTGTTTAAGAGAGTTTGATGGATAAGCTAATAGTTTCCTTAGGGAGAAAACATTAAAAATACCTCTGTGCTGAATGGTTACAAAGCTGCATGCTTTGAGATAAGGGCTTGAGACCCCGCAGTGTGTAATTTAAGTGTTGGTAAAGCAGAAGCCTGGAACTCAGCTTGCTGTCATGAGACCAGGGGAAGCTTGCAGCATCTTGCACATAGAAATGGTTCATTTTGCAGGTCTCTAATTACTTTGTAAAGAAGTCAACGTGCTATCTATTGGGGTGTCATGATTGTCAGACTGGGAAGAGAAGCTGACAGTCAGCTTGAGGTGAAGAATGCCAGAGAGAACTCTGGTTGAAGCTGGGGGGTCTGGATGTCAGTAGTGTTGTCTGTCACAGGAACCGTGCGACCAGGGAATGCACAAGACATCTCACAGTCCCAAGGGACTGCTCCACAGCAGCACAGGGTCCTCCAGCAGCTGCAGCAGGGAGACTGGAGACTGCAGCAGCTGCACCACTTGCAGCACCAGCCCACCATGCAGGATGCTTACATCCAGCAGGTATAGTCAGATCTGTTAGACAAAGTGTCTGAGACTCATTGTGCGTGTTCATAACCCTTGGAATTGTGTGCTTGTTCAATGCTTCTGCTGTTGCTGCCTGTACTTTTCCAGCTAAAAGAACTCCTGTCCCTTCTTGCTTTTGCTTTGTTCCTTCATTGACCCTGTAATGTTTGTCCTAGAAAGTTGCTTGCCTTGCAGTTTGACCCCAAATTCCATCTTGCTGTGCATCACCACTGTGTGACTTCAAGGCTTTACCCATGTGTAAAGGAGCTCGGGATAAATGTTAGGAGTGATGATGGGTGATGATGTTGTGCTTGCAGTAGATGGTTGTACATGCACCAGTGATAAATATGTAGTCTGATTTTTTTTCCCCTTTCTTTCTGTTTTTCTTTTTTTTTATTTTCTGTTTTTTTTTTTTTTTTTTTTTTTTTTTTTTTTTTTTTTTTTTTTTTTTTTTTTTTTTTTTTTTTTTTTTTTTTTTTTCTTAAGAATTGGCTGGGAAGTGGAGGAAGGAAAATGCTCCCAGAGTGGTTGAAATGCAGTGACTGAATTGCAAGCTGGTTCTTGATTACATGATATCTTAATTGAAAAATGCTGTGGAGTCATAGATGTGATAGCCAGAAAAAGCATTAATTAAAATACCTGCTTATTTCTGAGGGGGCATCATTACTTTTTAAAGCTATTTTTTGTTTTTCCAGTATCACCAAGCAGTGCACCAGCAGATGGTCCAGCAGCAGCTGTTGCTGCAATCTATGTATCAGCAGCAGCCTGCCCAGTCACAGTATCCTGCCATGGTAAGTCACAGAGATGGTACAGTGTTAAAATAACGGCCTGTGCTTGTAAATCTCTTGTGTAGATGCAGTAAGACAAGTGCCTGGCTACTTGTACTGAGCTGTGGACATGGTAAATAGTGTGCAGTTTGGCATCTAAAATAATACTCGTCTGGAGTTGCACTTGTGTATTAAATAATAGGATGGGATCTATCCTAAGTTCATAAGAAGGTCTCTCTGTTCTCATTTCAGACATACTTGGTTAATGTTTCCAGTACTAGCCACAGCAGCAAATACATGTTACACAACAGAGTGACTGAATTGGTGATGTCCAGTTCTTACTTGGAAAATAGGACAGCTAATTGTCAGAGCCTGTGTTGTAAAGATCAGGAGAAATTGTCCTGAAATCTTGTATCAAGATTAAGAATAGAGTATGATGAACACGCAATTAGCAGTGCTGCAGTGGCATACATTTGGGTTGCAATAATTACACAAATCAAAGTGGTAATAGGCTGGAAAAGGAAAGCAGTCTCCTGACCTGTTGGAGTGGTTTCTCTGCACCCGTGTGTTCTGGAGGGTGGTGATGGTGGCTGTTTGGCTGCCAGAGCAGCGCTGATAGTTGGCAGAAGAGTTTCGGTCAGGTGTGCGTGTTCTGGTAACACAGCCCTGCTCTCCCCAGGTGCAGCAGTACCAGCAGGCTCTCCTGCAGCAGCAGCAGGTGCTGGCTCAGCAGCGGGCACAGCAGGTGCAGTCCCCTGAATATATCACTTCTCCACAAGACTTTGCACCAGCCTTAATCTCCTACCCCAGGTCGCTGCCAGTGCATGGTGGAACAGTGGCAGATCCTTCCTACCCTACAAACAGGTGAGAGTTGTGGCTCAGCTGAGCCTGGGGGTTACTCGTGGCTTACGTTACTAATTGTGGTTAGCACTGGCAAATCCTTTTCTCAGAAGTTACTTGCTTTCATAGTAAGAGATTACTTAGAGCAGTTGGACAGTGGGTGTTCAGTGGTAAAGGATATTTTGGGAGCAGAGTGAGACAGTTTGTTAACAGATGAGCCTGGTACAATTTCTTAAAAGTATTTCTTCCAGTATTTCTTGTTCAGGGACTTACTTCAGGAGCTGACTGCTAAGCACTCTGCTTGGGATGGTCAGTAGTCTATGTTGAATGAGGTTATGTGCATCTGAAAGCAGTTTCAAACGCCATGCTAAAGAGCAGCTTTGTAGTTGGCCTTGATGTGCTAGGGCTGCCAGCTGCTGTGCTTAGAGGTGTGACCTGAGTATGTAACACAAAGTACACCTCAGAAGAGATATGGTCCCTGTGCAGTGGCCCTCATACCTGCCTTTGCTTAATAAATGGTAATAAATTACTATTTTGGCATTAATTCTTGTGAAAGACAGTGTAAGTAATAAAATCCCCTTCCTTTCTGATTTAAAAATAAAAGAACCTACATATCTGTCCAGTTTCATTGATATGAGAAACCAGATATCTATTTGTGTAGGTTCCTATTAGGCTTCTTTTAAATTTGCCTTCAGATTTTTTGGGGTCAGCTCTTAATGTATGTGTGCTGCTTGTGTGTAGGGCTTGGCATGATGAAGCATGTCTCAGATTTTGACCCTGATAACCAATCCTGTCATGTTTCTCTTTATTTGCTTCCTTGAACTGACTCTACAGGTCAGGTATTCCTGATGCTGAAGCAATTGCCAGTTACCCCAAGCAGAACATCAGTAACCCACCTGATATGTCAGGTTGGAACCCATTTGGAGAGGACAATTTTTCCAAGTTGACAGAGGAGGAGCTGCTGGACAGAGAGTTTGACCTGCTAAGATCAAGTAAGGGACGCTTGAAGGCTTACTTTGCTTCCCAGTAAATGAGGGCTCTGTGGTTGCTCAGCAGTTGCAACACCTGCTTGTCCAAGGATCGTGCAGGCTGTGTACAGAACATTCTTTCTGAGCATTTGAGGGCACTGTTGGGCCTGTCTTCCTTTCCTTTTTCTTTTTGAAAACACGTGCAATAGGAACTCACTGTCTGAAACTGGTAGTTACTGGCTCAATTACTGCAAAAATGGTAGTATCTTAGCTCTTCTATGCTGCTTGTGTCACCTTCATTGCCAAGAGGCTCTCAACAGCAGAGGTATGTTGTCAGATGGGAAGAGAATATTGGCTGCTTGCTTTATTCCTTTCCAGCTTTTTTCTTCCACACCAGAGAAGATTGTGTGGGTCTGATATGTCCTTTGAAAATGCCTGAAAGAAAATTGATCTATTACATTATGTTAATGTTTTGTACTGTCCTTTTTGAGTGGCTACATGTAAGGGCTGGTTTATTGTACTGATATGGCAATAGTTGAATAAACTTTTTCCTCATAAAGTCAGTTATCTCCATGGTTTTTACTTGGAATTAACCTTCTGTTCTTAATTGCTGAACACATGCTTGTTAGTTGCTCTTCCTATAACTGTTTTTGTTGAGATCAGATTTATTAGTGGGACTTGGAAGACATGACAGTGTTGAAAAACAGATTGTATATGCTTGGCTGTCTGTCAGCAAGTTTCTTGCAATTAAAAGTACAGTAAAGTTGAATTTTGAGTAACTGGAAAAAATACCTTTGCCTTCAGTTAATTATTTTTTCCTGTTGGGTGTGCACATTACATGTTAATCCTTTGGGAAAGTGACTGGGTGGGTTTGTGAAACTCTGGTGGTTAGTTTTCCCTTGTATCCTGTGTGAATCGAATCAGATTCCTGTTTTTGAGTTGAGAATGTAGCCTGCACACATTTTACAGTCAAATGTCTCTCTGGTAGCAGGGAAAAATGGCTTATGTACTAGCTGAAATTTAGATTCCTTCCAAGTCTAAGTTCAGGACTGGATTCAGTAGTAGAATCGAATATCTGTAGGTATGCTCCTGAATCTGGAGCAGGTTAGTTTGCAGCAAAGGTCAGCACAACAGCACCCACTTTCAGCAGCTGTAACTGCTGGACTGCACAAATGCAAGGACCAAAGAAGATAACCAAGGTCCATTTTGGGCTCAGATCTTCAAGGTAATTCGGTGCACAGGAGAGCAGGGTGTGATAACACATTTGATATGCTCTATCTGCAAAGTAAACCAAACCCAAAGGCACAGCTCTGCTCAGTAGTAACCAGCATTGGGGATTTTAGTCACTGACATACAGAAAGTGCAGAAATAACACCGGGTCACTGCCTTGCCAGCAGCACACTAGATGGCAGCCTTGTCTGCACAGATGGGCTGCCTTACAGCGGCTCTGAGCTCCTGGGGCTTGATGTCCCTCAGGAGGGAGAGCACTGGTGGTTTGTGTCTGTATGTCCGTGTAGGTGCACGTGTCACAGCCATCAGAGACCTTTTAACCTGGCTTTCTGATACCGAGGTGCTGTGCCAGAGATCATAGGAGCATACTTGGCAGTGTTAATGCCTTTGCTGCAGTCAAAGCAGGAATAATTATACTTCATGTTGTCTGCTGGTATTTAGTCTTGGCTGGAATAATGAGCAATCAGGAGATTTATTGTGAAATTAAGTCTTGTACCCATAAAATTGTCTTTAACTGCATAATTGCCTTAGATATGCATTAATATTGAAGGCTGAGTTCTCTTTAGATGTAGATTATCTCCTATGAGGGAGAAAGGCTGTTGAGTACTAAGTAACTTTTTTACCATATAGACAAAAGGGAATTGTAGATGCAAATTTGATCAGTGGTTCTACTTTTCTGTTACTAACTGCTATCCTGTACTTTATAACTCACATATAGTGGTGTGTAAGTTTGTGGTGCTCACTAGTGTTCAAAACAGAAATCCATTCTTTCTCATCTCAGAAGCCTAGTTTGTATTGTTGAGCTGATGCTTTATACATAAATTAAAGATGTTTCTTAATCTGGCAAATATTTTTAAAGCTTACATGTTTATGACAGTAACACCTAAGTAAATATACAAAGGCCTTTGTTAGAGGATGAAGATGTCACCACAGTTTGTCAGATTACCATCAGATTTCATGTGTTGAGGGGCTTTAATGTCAGTGTGTGCAGTGATGGTGCTGCTGGGGCCATTCATCACTTCTCTTGTGAAAGGGGATCCAGTTCCTAAGATAGAATACATTGCTTATACTTGGTGAGGGTTTTCCTGGTAGAATGGTGCTGGTTGCTGTAAAAGGTAATGTGCAATTGGATGAATTTCTGAACTGAGCACCCTTGTGGAGGGCTGTGACATAGAGTGACAGATTGGAGCTCCTGGCTCTTATTTTTTCTCTGTTGTTGGTGTTGCTGTGATCCTCAGTTAGTGATGGGCCAGAAGCGACATCTGATGCTGCATTTCTGACAGCATTTTGAAATAGATTTCTTAAACAGCTCCTGTAACCACTTAATCATCTGTGCAGAATTGGGAGCCAAGAAAGCGAGTCTGCTTCCTTGCTGGGAAAGAACCCCCAGCTGAGTTTTCATAGCCTTGCATGAAGGCTTGGGATCACCCTGGTGTTCCAGCAGGGACAGGTGTGGGTGCAGAGCCTCCCAGGCACTCTGCCTGTCTCCTTGCAGTAGGAAGGAGCTGCCCAAATCAGCTGTGCAGGCAAGGGCTGTGCTTCTTAGAACCCTTTGTCAAACCCCATGTCAGAGAAGATGCTCCTCCCTCACCCTGTACAGTGCATAGCTTTGCATAGGTGTGAGTCCTTCCATTTTTATTTTATTTTGCTTTATTTTTTGTTCTGTTTCATTTTGTTTTTTACAGACAGGCTGGTGGACAGGAGAACATCTTCAGATAAGGATGTGGAGACACATGCTGCTCCACAGACAAGTCCTCCTGAAGATCCCTTTGGTTCTGTTCCTTTCATTTCTCAGCAAGGCAAGTTCCATCTGTGACATGATTACCTCGTAGCTGTATACATACATACCTGTAGGTGTATGTATCTGCTGAAGTATGCACAGCAGTTCAGTGACCAAAGAATGGCAGGGAGCTTTGCTGCCTCCTAACTTAACAGCACTTGGGTTGAAGGGATGTGTTGGTGTGTTCTTTACCTCCAGTTAAAACCACTTGTGCATCCAGCTCCTGGTGCCTGTGGAGCCTTGGGACAGACTGTGTAGGGTGTGGTTCTGCTGGGCCAGTGCGGTGGGCACCACCTGGGCAGAGCCACAAGTGCTTTTGCTGAAGGGAAATTGCTTGCTAAGGCCAAATTTTGCACTTCACTGTAGTCTGTTCTGACTCGCGCTGTATCTGTGGTTCAGTTGTCCAGCCAAGTGGGGACAATAAGCTTCTATGCATTTAATGCACAGTTTTGGTACAAGTTGAATCAAATGCAAACATTTTATATTGTGTATACATGGGGAGGGTGGGCATTCATTATTGCTTTTCAGTTCAACTTTGACTATGTTTACCTTGAATGTAAGTAAAAATAACGTGTTATGTGGGCATTGTGAGTGGGAAACTGCATCACCCTGCAACTTAAGCAACAGTTTTAATATTTGGTTGATCAGCACTTTAGTATTTATTTTGGTACCTTTGACAAAGTAAAGCCTGTGTGATAGTTGAATGGTAAAAGGAATGTCAGCCATTTATGGAGCCACTTGGGTTTTGTTGCGAGTTCCTCTGTGATAAAGGTGCCTTAGTGTAACATGTACAGTCTGTTCTTACAAACTTCAAAAGCTCAGGTAACATGCCTTAAAATAAATCAGCTGGGGTCAACCTAAGTTAGTATCTGTGTTTTATTTTGCTTTGCTCCCGTGTTTTATTTTGCATTCTTGGAGACACTCTGGTAGGGCTGCAAAAGAAAATCCCTTTGCCTGTGCTGCTCCTGTCCCTAGACTTGAATTCATTCTGCTTGCTGTAGGACTGTGTTCTTAGTTTGTGCTTGTGTTTGGCTCTCTCAGGACAAGTTTGCTTTCTGTCACCTTGTTCATGTTCAGTAGTTCAGTGCCACGTGAAAACCATTTAGGTGAAGAAGGGTTTGCTCTGCAGGTGCTATTGGGAAAGGTTTCCCTGGCATCTTCATTCCAGAGGTTGCTTTGACTTAGGTAAGCCTGAATTCACATGCAAAACAAACAGAAAATAGCTTACGCTCCATTTAGGATGGGGACCATCAGGTACTTTGTCTCTTGCCAAGTGTTCATACCCCTGTGTCCAGAGAGTGTGATCTTGGAAATGCATTTCATTGTTGCTGGTTTTTTTAGATGGTTATAATATAGCTTTAGATTGTAACAAATATCTTCACTGTGTTTTTATTGCGTGCTTTATTTGTCTTACTTGGAATCCAAGTTCTAATTCTTTACACAAAAAAAAAAAAAAAAAAAAAAAAAAAAAAAAAAAAAAAAAAAAAAAAAAAAAACCAAAAAAAAAAAAACAGGAGTTGCTTCTATTAAGGGGAGGAAAAATCCCCTGAAATTCCGTCATGACTGAAAACCCAGGCTGTAAGAGACGTGTTGAGCTGGTTGTATAATAGCTGTGGCACTGTGAAAAAACTGTGCACTTTTCTATAGCCTTTTTTCCTATGAACTTCTAACTGGCATTTAAACAAGAGTAAATATTGGCTTGGTTTCAAGAAAGGTATTGTTAATTATATGTTAACTGTGAATTGCACTTAGTAAACAAATCAGGTACAATAAATATTTAAATGTTAATATTGATCTTCTAAAAGCTGGTTTGTATTCCCCACTGAACTGTTCTTGGTAATATCTTGAAAAGAGGAGTTGCAAGACAGCTAAGAAATGGTGAAAGCTGTTGACCTGGACATATTTAATTTCTAGCTGAGGGCTTTTTGGGGCAAACTTTACAAATGTCCCTCTCTGATATCTTGATTTCTGCTTGCACTTAACACTGTTTTGTGACCTGTTCTTTCTGGTTTCTACCTTGTGATTGAAACATGTAACTGAGAAGTAAATCACCTGTGTCCCTTACTCAGGGCATCCAAGGGCAGGTGATGGCTTGACAAGTGGAACAGAGGTTTAATACCTTGAGTACAATTCCAGCATTTACAAGAGAGACTCTTGAATCTTGTTCAAGTACAAGTTTCATTTCCTTATTGTAAGGTGTCTCAGCCCAAATGGGGAGTGTACTAGCACTGTTTGCCCAGGGCTCTGGCCACCTAGTTCTGACTTGTTGAATTACAATGGCATAAGGTGGTGACCTTATAAACATGGGATCTTTAAAGTAAATAAAACTGACTTTCTTGAAGAGTAACAGTTGTTACTGAAGTTATGGTCTACTGTATTGACCAGAGTCCCAACTTGGTTTTCCTTGCTCTGGCATAGGTCTGATGTATAAATCACATATGTGGGTTGTGGCTGAGTAGAGTCGCCCAGAGGATTCCTCGTGTTTTGGAGGCCTAAGGGTTCTCTGCTGAAAGCAGCTCTTCACTCAGTAATCAGCTGACTCGGGTCACCTCCTGAGAGAGAGCAGCAAGATGGTGACGATCGTGTGTCATCTTTGGACTCAGCAACATCAACTGCTGGTAACCTGGCTGAGCACATGTCACCAGGTGTGTTAACATGTGGCTGGGAAGGCGAGGCAAGGGAGCAGCAGAGGCTGGAACTGCAAGCCTTCCATCATCGCTGGGAAAGTCTGTGGCCTGCGTGACTTGGGATATTTCCTGTGGAGCTGAGAGTGCATTTCAGGCTGGCAGTGATGCTGGCACTTCTCACCCGGAGAAGAAACCTGCAACTGGATGGACTGTAGCTGCTTCTGCTAGACCTTCTGTGTGTATTTTATCTGGTGGAGAGCCAGCAGCAACACTTGTGTCCCTTGGTGTGCACAGAGGGAAAGGGGTGCAGAGTGAGCTAACGGGTGTTGGGTTCCTCTCAGTTTGGGGAATAGGGAACCACTGTTTTGGTGTCTCTCACTTTTGGTGTGTATCCTAGTAAAAGTGTTCTCACGAGTAAACTTGCCACACAGACTACTTTATGCCAAAATTTTTGTGGAAAATAGTAGCACCTTAAGACCTGAGATGACTGGAAAAGAAACTTGGCCTGGGAAAGAATTCCAGTGTTTGATCTGTTAGAAACAAACCCTACATTACAAACTTCTTAATGAAAGAGAGAATTAAATAGCCAGCACTGGGGCACTTAAGCACTTCACATGTGGAAAAGAGGTCCTGGTTCTGGAATTCCTGAACTGGATGGTGACGGTGGAAAAAACATCTCCTGTGGACAACATTTTGGAAGGGAAGTTTTTGATTCAATGTGTGTTGCCCAGCTTATGTTGTAATGCCCTTTGTTATTATCAAGTGTTTTAGAAGCTCGGGAGAAAGATGCTTTATATTGCTCTCAAATGTAAGAAGGACATGTCATGAATATAGTACAGTTGGCTGGTGAGCTGTACTCGGTCATCTTGCATTTATTCTCACTAATGGTTTGTGGGATGAAGCCAGGCTAGGATGACTTTTTCTTCCCTCAGCTTAATACTGTGATTCCCAGAAGGAATACAAAAATTGAGGTAACACTCAGAAGTTACATGGATGGGCTGTGTGAGAATTGGAGGTGTTGGGCAGTGTTGCCTGAAGCTGTTTCAGGCATTTGGCTCCTGTGGAACAATCTCCAAGAGCTGTTGCCTAGGATCTCGGGGTGGGGTTCTGGTTCAGGTCATCTCATTAACAGTTCTGCTGAATGTTGTACAGCTCACGTGTGCTGTAGATGTGGTCAAGCCACTTTGTTTTTGTAGCCTCTGTGGTAACCCCTTCTGAGCCACTGCAGGCCTGTTCTCTGTGCAGGGACTGAATAAAAGCGAGTCCAGTTCTGTAGCAGCTTCTTTCTGATTTCCAAACTTCCCACACTCGGCAACCTGGTGGTATCTTCAAATGGTGGCTGCAGGTGTCTGCCTTGGGCTAAGAGGGGCTTTGTGGTGTGGCATGTGTTGTCCCAGCTGTGTGGATGTTGCAGAAAGCCAGCCAGCTGTGTGCCAGATGCAGTGCCACGGGAGTCATCCAGAGCTTTGGACACATCTCTGGGAATCCCCTGCTGCAGTAGGTGCTGCTGGATGTGCACGGTGTCACAGCAGAGACCTGCAATGTCCTGGGGGGAGCAGACGTGGGGGATGATGATTCATTCAGTTGGTTTTTGTGTACTGCTTCCAACAGGGTTTCAAACACTGCAAGTTTTGTACCACGGCCTGGGACCACTGTGCAGTCTGGGCCTTTAAGTGAGACACATCTTGCTAGAACTTAAGAAGAAATTACTAATACCAGACCAGAAGAAACAAAAAAGACTTGAGTCACTTTTAGAACTTGAAAAATTGGCTCCTGCCAACAGTTGATGTTGATTGTTTAAAGGTGCCCAGACCTGTGTGCAGTGATCTGGATGTTGTAGTGTTGTAGAGTGTTACTTGCCAGAAGTTGAAAGCTTTGCTGATGTTATTCTGTACTTTCTTGGCTGTGGCTTCAGTTATTCATAGCGCTTGCTGAATGCAGATTCAGGATATTTCCCTGTATCAAGATCTTCAACTTGACCTATTCTAGATACCCGTTCCTAAGTGGCCTGAAATTGTTTACCCATCACAGGTATAAATGGTATGTCTGGGCTCTGCCAAGGGTCTGCATTTTCTGTCCAAAACTATTTACTGTTTTTCTTTTTTTAAAGTTTTTTCAAATCTTGCAGCAGTCACGGGCACATTGCACTATTTTTTTATATTGTGCTTTAATCTCTGGAGTAATTCTTTAAAAGAATGTTAGCAGTAGTGCCAGGCACGAGTGTGGTATTCTTCCATTTTTGTTGCTCTTGAAAGTAGAGGTGGTAAGATGTGTAAATCCATTACAGTGTTGAGCAGCTGCTGCCCTGGCTGTTGTCAGAGAACTGGTGCAGATTTAGTTGCAGCCTGCCGCTAATCCTTGGGCTGACATGTGGCAAATTGTTATGAAATGATGGTGGCAGTATGTTCCCAATTCCAAGGGAGCTTAAAGCTCTTATGCCCCACTCCTGGGCTACCCCCACCATACCCTAAAATGAAGAACCAGCAGAAGGCATGTAATTACTGTGGTTGTTAGAGGGAATTCATCCTCTTATAATCCTGTGTCTCGAAAAAGAACATCGGAACAGAAAATTTCCTTGAAGATTGGGATCTTCTTATATGATTAAAGATGTTCCACCTGGCTCACATTTGAGCCAAGAACAATTGTTCCCTACAAGCTGCAAACCTGATTAGAAGTGTGGTAATCTGAGCAGCACATTGCAAACAGATGTTGCCACCAGTGTGCAGCCGTGCTGGGTAAATGTGTATCTGAGTGTCTCTGCAGTGGTGTAGCCTGACACGATTGCATGAAATCAATATGACACAACACTTCAGTCTGGAAATCTGTTTGGCCAGAGCATTCAGTTGTCATTTAGCAAGGGCTTTTCCCTTTTGGGTGATTGTTTGTGTGTAGTGCTCTATTTCACTTGCTAACTCGATTAGCAGTGAAACAGGTGCAACTGTACTGTAGAAGACCAAAGTATTCCTATCTTAGTTTTAAAATACTGTAGTTCTAGGGAGATTATTTTTGTTTCTTTGGATTGGTTTTGATTCTTGTCTGATGGAGTTTTATCCCTGTTCCTGGGATTAACATGAAGCCACTACAGCTGCAAAGGCGGGTGCAGAAATGGTTTGTTCCCTCAGGGTTGGCCAGGTAGGGCTACAAGCGTGCAAGATGAGTATCTTAGAGTAGTTTCTGCTTGGAGCAGATGGCTCTGGTTGTTTCTATCCTCAACACACACAGAAGGATAAAGGAAGATACTTGTTTTCTGCTGACACACTCCAATGTGGGAGCAGTGATGTTGCCATTCTGGAAACCCTCCTTGGAGTACAAGCATTTTCTTCAAACCCACATATCCGGAGCAGTTGCTGTTCACAGCATCACCTGCTGCATGCCACCTGCTTTCCAGGTGACATGGTCCATGTAGGGTCATACATACTGGCTCTGCAACTCTGATAATAATGAGCTCCTAGTGGAGGTTTTGAATTTCTAATCACTGTTGGATATTTCCCAGTCTGTACATAATACATGGACACTGGTTTTGTGCTGCAGTAAGCAAGTCACTGCTAACTCTGGCAAGGAGACTGGCCAAGGAGCAATCTCAGCTGAAGAGCTAGAAATTTGGAAACCTTCAGAAACCACTGCTGAGCTGAGATGCAGTTATTGACTGTGCTGTGGTGCTGTTAGAATGGGAAAAAGGCTTTTTGCTGTGTCTTTGAGTAGCCTCAAAATTAAGACACTTTGGACCATGTTGTCTCATGTGCAGGGACAGATGTTGATAAATTTGCACTTTAAGCTTCCCTTTCCTGTGGACTGTCTCATTCCTGCCAGCAAAAAGGCTGGTGTGTGCTATGTCCAGCATGCCTTGGCATTGCCCTCAGTGGAGCAAGAGCCCACAGAACTGACCAGGCCAGGACAGACTGCTGTGGGCAAAGTAGAAATCAACACGTGCATCAAACTTGGTGTTCTCACTGGCTGTTCAGTCACTTCCCCTGTGTGTGCCTCTGTCAGCCAAGAAGGTACTCAGCATTTCCTTGAAGAGTGGTTCAGAGCTCCAAGCACAGGGGGAAAATACCTGGCTTGTGTGTTGCTGTGGATGCATGTCTCCAGCAAGAGGGATTACTCGGTCAATTGTTCCTGGCTTCATCTGAGTTCCTCTGGAGGTTGTACTTGTTAGACTTGAGAGAGGAAACCGTAGGATGGAAAGGCTGAGTTGTCTCGATGCCCGATTCCCAAGATGATTTGCTGTGTGTTGCCAGCAGGAATCACAGTTGTGAGTAACAGGTGGGTCTGTTGGGATGCTGGAGCAGCCAGGGTGCCCATGCATGGAGTGTGCTGTGGGAAACGTCCTCTTTGCTGTGCCATCTGTCTGGAGAGCTCTGGGGCTGAGAGCTGCACCTCGTGCTGCCCTTAGGCAGCTCAGCTGCTCGTGGCACAGGTTGTGTTCTGTCTCGTCAGTGCCTGTTACAGTTTGTTTTCTTGGGACTCTGACTGTGGCAGCACTTAAATAACAGTTAAACCTGGAAAGTCAAATATATTAGGTAACACTGTAATTCGCTTCTTCCTTGAAAAAATAAAATTGCCTTATTAATTGTTTACTGCATATTGAGATGAAGTGCAGAGATCTAACCATTCCATGGGACGGTAAACTCTTGTGGATATGGACACAGAGAAAAAGTTTGGGCCTTTTGTTGTGGAAGTGGTGTAAACGTCTAGCCCAGAAGTAGTCCCTTTTTCTTTTAAATCTATTTGCATTTATGCTAACATTAGTGTTCCAGTAAATATTGGAAACAGCAGGATTTGGAGGCCGGGGGGTTATATAGTGCAATACCTTTGGGAAATCTAAAGTAAGCAGCAGAATAATCCAGATTCTAATTTAGTGGGTAAAGCAAATATGTAGCATTTAAAATTACAGTAGATAAGAAGCAATCTGACACCAGAAGGCAAGAAGAAACAGCTCAAAGCCCTAATCACCTGATGGTTTTAGTCATTGTGGTCATCTTATTTTTAAATCCTTACATGAGTTGTATTGTTGCTGAATTTTTATTATTTTAAGGGTAGCTGCAAAGGAGCGAGGAAGCTGGCAGATGAGGAAATCACTCTTAATTCCCTTGAAAAAATGAAAGAAATGGCTCTTGTAAAACTGGAGCATAGAAAGAAAAGAATCTGACTTGGGCTAGAAGTTCCATACTAGTTTCTTGTGAAAGAAGGAATTAGCTGAGAAAATGTTTGCTATATTGCAAGAACAAGAATTATGAGAGCGATTCTGGCTGAAAGTGATTTTTGGAGAAGTAGCTGAAGATGATTTTTGAAGATGCCTGTAGCCATCCCTACCTTTTCTCTCCTTTGAACACATGGAAGGGGTTAAATGTCAGTGTTTGTGTAACAAAGCTCTAGGTGGAAGACATCCATTTTGCTTGGGTGAGGTCAGGGGTGCAGTGCTGTGAGCAGAGTTCTCTAATAATTGCTTTCACAGGAGCAGCCGTGGCCCCAGCTGCTGTCAGATGCTGGAGACGCGAGAGGTTTGTCCCCAGTGCCAGGGTGCCTGGCAGCCTCTCTGGGCAGAGTGGCACACAGGCTTTGGGCACACATGTTGTGGGCTCTGGGCCTGCCAGGAGGTGAATTCTCGCTGCTGTTGCTGATGTTGCATCTAACATTATGCACCCTGTCTGTGGCCAAGAGGACAGTTCAAGGGCAAGTGTGCTTTACCCAGTGGAGACTTGAGTGTTCTGATTTTCAGCTTTCTCTTTCCCTTCCAGTAGAAATCGGAGTCAGTTACACTCCTGAAAACTTCTCCCCACATCACGGGTCTCTGACACAGGGAGAAACTGGGTGTGCTTAGTGACAGGAGCAGTGCCAGTGCCACTGTGCAGCCTCCCCTGCTCTGGGGAGTGGTGCCAGTGCCACTGTGCAGCCTCCCCTGCTCGGCCTGCTCTTGCCATCTTTTTTGTACTGCTGCAAAATTTTTACTGCTTCCAGTGTTCCCAAGGCAACCACACCACAAAAGACTTGGCAGTGAATTGTTCTTTCAGTTCTAGTTGTCAGTGAATAGTAGGAAGGAAGTTGGCATAGGGAAGCAAGGAGATAAATTTCCTTGCCATAAAGAAGCTGAGCTGATAGGTTGCATTTAGACACAAAGCATTGCTCTCAAACTTGAGGAAAAGCAAGAGCTTTTGTGCCTCAGTTGCTGCAGAAGTTAGAAGGAGCTGCTCTCATTACTAGAACAATGTTTGTCAGAGCATACTATCTAAGCAGAACCACATCAAAAAACAGCTTGTCAGTTTAAAAAAAAAATAGAGAAAATTTAGTGTTTAAATCCTGCTGCCTCCCGTTTCCCCAGAAGAGAGTGGCTATGTAATGACTGGGTTTGAAAAGCTGTCTCTAGAGATCAGCTGTGTCCATTAGCCCCTTCTGTATGCCCCCCAAATCCTGGTACTGTATTTCCAGGCACCTTGTGCTTTAGAAGTAAAGCTGGCAGCTCTGTCTGTTGATTTTATGTGTGTTGTTTGAAACGTCAAATCTGATTTTTAGCTCATTTCCCTCCCAAAGTACAGGATATATGTTTGCATCAGCTCCTGGGATGTGTGGCTGTGGGGTGTGTGGAGCAGGTTTTGCCTTTGTATGTTTTAAGTTTTCATTTGCTTTTTTCTTTGGACCTGCAGGTTCCCTTGGAAAACAAGTGGATAACTCAGCCAGCAATCAAGGAAATAACTTAGGGACCCCGACAAAGGCTGGAAAACTGAGCCATGCATTTAGAGATCCCCAGGCAGGGAGGAAAAGTGCAGAAGGACACGTGACAAAAGGTGGTGAGGAGTCAGAGAGTGATTTTGAATCTGATCCTCCTTCTCCCAAGAGCAGTGAAGAAGAAGAAGAACAGGAGGATGAAGAAGTCTTGCATGGAGAAAATGGGGACTTCAATGATGACAATGATACAGAACCAGAGAATTTAGGCCACCGGCCTCTCCTCATGGATTCTGAGGAAGAGGTGGAAGAAGAGGAGGAAGAAAAGCAGAGCTCTGATTCCGATTGTGACCGAACTAAGCAAAAATGTGTGGAAGGGCTCCTGAGCACTCGGTTCAGAGATGGTGTGGGCAGCAGTGAAATCACAGAGCCCAGTTCAGTGCCTATGTCTCCGCCTGAGGTGCCAAGCAGTCTGATCAACTCTGGCCAAGAATTTGATGTGTTTGGAGCTGTGCCCTTTTTCACTCTGCAGCCTCAGGCAAGAGAGAAAGTGGACAAAGATATTTCTTCTCAGGTGGCTTTTCCCAGCCTAAGCCAAGAGCAGGATGACTTTGATGTTTTCATAAAAGCTCCTTTCAGCAAAAAGGTGCCGCAGCGAGATGGGCAGGGGTCAGGGCTGGAGCCTCTGCTCTCCCCCACCTCTCCACGGAGCGTGGATATCTTTGGTTGCACCCCATTTCAGCCGTCCCTTGTCGCCAAGTCTGCTGGGAGTAGGCAGGACCTGTTTGGGCTGGTTCCGTTTGAGGAGATCACAGGCAGCCAGCAGCAGCAGCAGAAGGTGAAGCAGCAGAGGAACCTGCAGAAGCTGTCTTCCCGCCAGAGGCGCATGAAGCAGGAGGTGTCCAAGAGCAACGGGAAGCGCCATCACGGCACCCCCACCGGCACAAAGAAAGGGCTGAAACCCAGCTACCGCACTCCAGAGCGCGCCCGCCGGCACAGGAAGGCCGGCCGCAGGGACTCCCAGAGCAGCAACGAGTTCCTGACCATCTCGGACTCCAAGGAGAACATCAGCGTGGCCTTGACTGACGGCAAGGACCGAGCCAACCCTCTGCAGACAGACGAGACGCTGCTGGATCCTTTCGGAGCCAAACCCTTCCACCCGCCCGAGCTGATGCGCCATGCCCAGCACCAGGGCTTTGGGGACAGCTGCGGGGACCACGGCACGGTCGTGGTGGCTGGCAGGCCGAGGCAGAGCTCTTTGCACGGGGCCATTCACAGTGGGGATGGGCTGAAAACAGATGACTTTGGTGCGGTTCCCTTCACAGAGCTGGTGGTGCAGAGCACACAGAGCCAACCACAGCAGGCACTGGAGTTGGATCCCTTTGGAGCAGCTCCGTTCCCTTCTAAACAGTAGAGGCTTCCAATGGGTTTCCCCCTCTCCACCTCTCAAAGTCCCTTAATAAAGGTTTAGTGGAGTAATTTATTTGGTTGAAATGCCAGGAGCCTGGGTTGTACAGCTTGTTCAGGCTGAGGAGACAGTGGCCTGCATGTGTGATGGAATTGCAAGTAACAGCTAATTCTGATTTGGGTCTTTTTGAGAAAAAGAGTAAAAAAATCAGAAGTGTTGTTTCCTTATGGCAGATGGCTCCCAGAATGAAGTGAGGAATTGGATATGAATCTGTGTCACTGACTTGGGGCCCTGGGACATACTGTCATTGTGCACTTTGGTCTTGCCTTTCCATCCCTCTGCCATGTGCCCTGGTGGAGCAGAAGAGGCAAGGGAGCACATGGAAAATGCTTCCCATATGTATAGGAGGCTAATGAACTGTGGTCCTTCTTCATGTCTCAGCAGATCTAAGAAGCAAGACATACTGATATCCAGATTATGTGCTGGAAGTAGCCACGTCTTTGTTTCCTAGGTGAAAACTATCTTTATTAATCATAAAAATAAAGCAGCCACATCCTCAAGGGGCTGTGGCCCAGAATTCCAGAGCACAGCTATGGCTTGGGACCTTGCAGACATCTATGCAGCTGCAGAGATGAAAGGCAGATTATTTTTTTTGTGTGCCTAAATGGTCAATTTTGAATTATTTTTTTAACAGTAAGTGCCATTAATGTAAAGTAGCAAACTGGAAATGCAGAGTCAAAACTAAAGAAGCAGGTGATTTATGATCTGTGAGAAGCCTGAATGTGTGGGGGAGTGAGCCAGCAGGGACATGGCTGGGATTACAGCACTTTGGGAGACTCCTCAGTGTACTGGAAGAGGGGCTGTCCTTGGGCATGTGGAGTGTTTTAGAGGACTTGCGGATATGACTGTGAGGTACAACCATTGGATTGGTTTGATTACAACTTGGGATTTGTGTCTGTTTTCCTCTTGGGTTTTGATTGAAAAGAAAATGTGTCCTCTCTCAGACCTGTTGGTTTTTTACCACAGCAGTTTTATGAAATGACTGTAATCTGATGTTCTTTTAAGGTTTGCTAAATGCACTGAGCTTTGGGGATGCTTCTGCCCCACCTGTGTTCCAGCAGGAGCTGGTGCCTGCCAGACCACTGAGCTGCATTTCACCCCACGGAGCCTTTCAGGAAGGACCTGCTGCCCAGGAGCTTTGGGAGGTGCCTCGGGTGATGGCAGGAGGTGTGAACACTGCCGAGCACAGGGTTTGCTTCCTGTGCTGCCTGCAGGCAGGATGGACTCTGTGTGCACAGACAATGCCCATTGGGACAGCCCAGCCTGGGTTCCATGGCCATCCTCACGACACGGAAGGAGGTGTCTCCCCTTTCTGTACTGCTCCACTGGAGGCTGAGGAGTAGGCTGTTTGCATATTGGGGACTTCCCTATTTGTGGCTGGGTGTCCTCATGTGCCCCCTGTCACAGGTGAAGTGAACTATTATTCAGGGTTGTGAGCTGTTTTCCCCGACGCCTCCTGCTGGATATTCAGGAAATCTGTGATCCTGAGGTGTGGAGTGGGGGGGTGGGATTTGGTCCTTTTCAATATTCACTGAAAACACATTGAAAACAAATCACGTGACTCCTTTGGGATCAGTTTGATCCAATTCCCCCTAGGAGGTGTGGGAGATTGCTTCCATTAGCTCTGTAATCTGAACATACTCACAGTGATGGTGTGTAGATAGCTACCTTCATCTTCCTCAGTTTCACTTCTCACAGGGTATAAGCGGAATATTCCAGCTGTGCCTGCTTCAGGGTGCCTTTTCCTTTAGGAGTTAAGCCCTTAGGAGATTGAGTAGAAATGTTTCAACACAGGACTTTCCAGGCTTTATTACTGCTCTTCTCACCTGTTTGGTGCCAAAGGCTGCAAGAAGCACATGCCAATTTTTGTAGCATTTCTGACACTCAGGTTAACAGTCTTTTCAGTCTTTTTCGGTTTTGTTTTTTTTTGTTTTTTTTTTTTTTTTTTCTTTTTTTTTTTTTTTTTTTTTTTTTTTTTTTTTCCTCTGTGCATGCTTATTATGAGCTGCCTTTCTCAATGTCTTTCAGAGCTGTTACCTGCCTGAAGAGCTCTTGGAACAGAGCAAGATGACAAATGGGGCAGTGAGGTGGACACAAAATGAGGTGAAAACTGTGGTCCTAAATGTGGCTGGTCCTCACCAAAGCCAGGCTGTTGCTGTCATCCCAGTGGGAAAGCAACGGGAAGGGTTAATAATGCACACGGCCCTGGGGCTTGGCTCCAGGGCCCAGGAGGAGAGGTGAGGGCTGTTGGAATACAGGGAGGAGGCTGGGCATCAGCAGACCCGGAGTGGGCAGAAGTGATCAGGTAAATCACAAATAGGAAGTGGGCAAATGTTCATGTACTGTTGGTTTACCCCAAGGCTCCAGGCTGGGGAGGGCTGCAGGGAGTTTTGGCAGAGGGTCTCTATGCAGTGATATTGCAGCACAGCAGAGCTGAAGGGAGAGATAAGGCAAAGGCAAGCTGCAGACGCAGTGACTCTAGAGCTGGCACCAGTTATGGCCCATGATATTTGCCTCCTAATGGCCTTAACATACCTGGTTCTTCATACTCAAGACACCAGTCAGATTTTTGCTTAAATTTACCATTTTTTTCTTTAGAGTTAGTTATTTGATCCTTTCTTATGGTCGATATGAGATTGGTGCACCCTGCTAAGCTTAAGCTGACTTTTCCTGGTATATGTAGTTTATACACAACTGAACCCAAGTTTGGGGTTATTTTCAGCCACTATCCACTATTCAAAGGAGGTGAAATGTGTGACTGTCAGGGAATGGGGCATCCTTTGCCTTTCAGGGTGTGTGGAGTGCAACATAACCTTAGTTGAAATCAGGAAAGCCCTTGCTGCAGTAGACATGTACGTGCTGCCTGTGGTAGCAAGAGGGCAAGGTAAGGAGTTGACACTTCCCTTCCAGACAGAAATCCCAATTTTTTACAGCTTCTCCTTCAGCATGCTGAGGGACTGAAGCACAGGCCTTTTAGGATCAGCTGCTGGAGAGAGCATCTGTCCCAAAGTGCTAAGAAGCACAACCACTTTTGGGTAGTTGTGGTGATGGAAAGAAAAACCAGTTAGTTGTGTTTGCCTGTGGACTCAAAGGGCCCTTAGGTGTGTAATTAATACAGTTAATGATTTGGTTGCTCTGTGTGTGGCAGGGGGCTCTGTGAGCACCAGCATCTGAATCATTCTGGGTGTCCCAGTTAGTAAAACCAAGTACTGTGAAAATAAGTTGATATATTTGCTACTGTGAGAAAAAGAGTTTATCTGGAGTTTTTTATATGATATTGTGTATTTTTATATATCTAAGAAGTATATATAAAATATACACATGCACACATCACGTAGCCCTTGGAGTTGCTGTGGTATTGGTAACCCAGGAGCCACAATCATGTTGGTGACTTGAGTGAATAGGAGTTAAGCACCAAGGCTGGCTGCTGTGTTACTGTTGTGTAGAGCTTATTTTGAAAGGAAATCAAGGAGATGGTGTGTATGGCTAAAGTTGTGACTGAGGTATCACCTACTATTAAAGAGCATAAAAACTATTTTTAAATTGCTGGCATTCAGCTTTTAAGTGCACTTGCCTGAACTACACTTCCATTTCTTGTTAGACTTGGAGTTTCTAAAGCTTTTTTGTCTACTACTAAAGTGAGAACTTTTAACTTTTTTTGTGAAGCTGGTGTATATCATAAAACCCTTGGAGTTGTTAAATAAAGGAACCTGGTTAACAGTGCCTTTGCAGGTCTCTTCAACATTGCATTGTGAAGTCTTAGTGTGTAGGCTTTAATTTACTCATTGTAAGCAGTGCTGCTGCCAAATCATTTTGTAGCTATCATGTAAGCACCTGTTTTAAGTAGTTCTGTTTGCTGTCCAGTCATCCTGCTGTGCTCAAGTTGTTAAAAATCCTTCTCTTCAGTGTTACTCCTTAAAGCTTTCCTGCAGAAAGGCTGTGTATGGTTCCCAGTGCCACTGGACTGAGCTCTGCATTTCTGGACGGAGCTATAATGTGGTGTGAGCCCCTTCCTGCAGTTGTTTACTGCAGTAGGTTGTTTGAATGCTCCTTGTATTGATTTTACTCTTGGGTGAGCTGAAGTAAGAATGGGAATGGTCAAGAACAGACAAAGCAGCAGCACGACTCTGTTAATAGAGTACTGGTAACAGAATGAAAAGCTGAGTTCACCAGCAAATTCAGCTGGAGAATCTCCCCACAAAATCGCTGTCTGTGGTACAAGTTCCATGTCTGAGCCATTGACATCTATTGTTTTGCTGCATGAGAAGCAGGAATAAGTTACTCCAAGGAAAAAGCCAATGAACTGGAATTTATTTTTAAGTTCAGTATGTACATCAAAGATAATCATGCAGCTTGATAAGGTGTGTCAGGTAAAAATGCACAGCTTGGCAATCAGTTTCCTTATCTGGTGAAAACTGCTGGAGAAGTTAGGACTTTCCATTATAAAAATACATTAGCAAATACTAAAGTCAGTAATGTTTCAGAGCACAGACACATTCCTGGGGTATTACTGTACACATAACACTGGAAACAGACTTGTACACTTACAAGTTCCTTGTCAGGCTTCAGTAGTAATAATTAGTGCACTTGAAACTTGCTTGGCTGTCAAGTTAAAAAAAATCATTTAAAAAATCAGTGTTTACTCTGAAAGGCTGAAAGCTGTGGGAGGTGAATCATTAATGCAGAGTCAGTTTTGCCAATACTTGTTTCTGGATTTAAAAAAAATAAACAGAAAAGCACCAGAACCACCCTCTGCCCAGCACATCAGCAGGAGTTCCTATCCTGCCCTTCTCCATGCCCAAGGCATTCAGGTGCCTATCTGTAAGCTTCCACCTCCACTCCATGTCTCCTTGGAAAACAAGTCCTGCTCCTCTGCCTTAGCCCAGAGGGAGGCAGCTTTGAGCAACAGAGCCTGCCTGCCCTGGGGCAGTCGCTGCACAGAGCCAGCCTCTCCCAGTGGATTAGGGGGAAGCCCTCTCCACAAGGACATAGCCACATGGGACTAGTCCCAACAGCAACCTTGCCTCTAACCTGGAAGTCCAAAGGATTTCAATGCTGTTCAGAAGACTGGCACCTCTGGAGCTTCATGGGGCTGGGCTGCAGCTGCACCATAACCAGTGTATGTCATTCAGTTCATAAAAGATGGTTCCACGACATATCCTGAAAGTCCAAGCAGCCTTGGCACTGTGGCAGGACTGTGATAGCTAGTCCTTTTGAGCAACCGTGTCTGCGAGTGCAGTATCATCCTGCACGCAGGGAAAGGCCAAGTCAGGAATCTGCATCCCCAGCAGGTTCCCTGATTGCAAAACAGCAACAAACATGGACACGCAGGCTTAGTGGTACTGCTGAAATTCTGAAATGTTAATTCCAGATTACTGAAGGGATCAAGAGAAATTTCTTCAAGCATTGGCATGACCATGACCCCCCTTGAGGGAGGCTATTTTTAAGATCTGCAATGAAGATCTAGGTGTGCAGGATGCCATGTGATCTCATCTCCCAGAGAATGGGAAAGAACTCATCCAGAGCAGGACACAAATCCACTGAATTCCAGTTCATACATTCCTGTTCCAGTGCTGAAGCGTAAGCACATCTTCCATGCACAGCCCATAGGCCTGTGCTTTGGATCTAGGACCAGCTCCCACAGTTCCTACAATTTTACAGGCATGCTGCCAGGAGTGTTCTCCTAACTGTGCACACCCCCTGAAAACCTGCTGTTCAGGCCTGAGTGCCCTTGGCTGAGCCATTAATGTCTGCCAAGCAACAAAACATCCTGCTGGGATCTGCTCAGCGTGCTGCTGTCCCGCTCCAGGAAGAGCTGTTTGGCACTCGACTGCAGGGCAGGAACTGACTGAGAAGGAAATGCCCCTCCGACCCCAGGCAGTGCTGCTGCGTTTATCGAAGCTTGCAGTAACACTCTGTCCCAGCAAGGGGTTAACAGTCCAGGAGTCAAGAAAGGAGCTGCCTCAGTCCTTGACAGCACAGCTCTTCACATGAGGTCCAGACCCGCAGTCACAAATCCTCTCGTGCTGCTTCTGAAATAGAGCAGGCAAACAAGGTAAATCACTGTGCACATGTAATTGGCAACTCATCTGATTTCAACATCAAGATCAATGCTAAGGAGATGGAAAAATCTGACAAAAGCCTGAGTTAAAGGCTACTTAAGGACAAGTACTAATGACGGTTTGAGACTACTCAGCTTGTGACACAGAGCTGGAAGGGATCTGGCTGGGCTGAGTCCAGTCTGCTCTAAAACTGCTCAAGGGCCCAGCAGCTCTACACACCCTCATCCACTGCAGCAGCACAGGTGAGCAGTGCCTGGCATCACATCCCTGCTTTTTATTTGCACCAGTTGGGACCCACTCTGCAGCAGTGACCTGAGGTTCAGGCCAGCATTCCCAAAGCCTGTGGTTAGAGTATCCTGTTCCCCGAGGATGGCAACAGCCGTACCTTGGCTCACAAGTCCGTGCTGTACTCGGGGCAGGGTTTGCTGTGTCGGTACTGCATGATGTACACTGTGGACTGGTGCCACCAATACAGCATCACCACTGCCAGGATGTGCCACACTTGGTGGCTCGAGCCGAGGTAGTTCAGCTGGCCTGTGGGGGAGAGAAGCAAAGAGTTCAGCTGTTAAATTTGGCCACAACATATGCAGTGCAATCAGCAATCAGTCTCCTGCACGGCTCTGCCACACCCTGCCCTTGAGTGGTGACAGGGAAGGTTTTTTAAGGAACTTGATGGAAGTTGTCTGCCTCGACCCACTTTTTTACTCTGTGTGGGAACACTGCATGGGGAACATGGTCAGCCTGTTCTCTCCCAGGAAGTTCAGGACCCACCACAAGGACTGTGACACTGTAGGAAGCTTAACTGCAGGAAAGAAAACAGCCAGAAGAGAATTTCCTACCTGGGAAGTATCTTTCTGGAACTTTGGAAATATAGAAGAGAAAAGCTACAGCAGCGATGAAGTACATGACAAATACCCGCGGAGCAAACTCCTGCAAAAGAAAAGGAAGCTCTCCTATTCTGTTAGAAGGCAAAAACAGGAAAAAAAGTTCCTAAAGATAAAAAAGGAAAAGGCATGGCAACACTGAATCTTCCTTCCCTGCCTGTATTAGCTGTGCATAAATCCAACGTGGACACACAGGCTACTCAAGTTCAGCCAACAGCAGCCAGAGCAAGTGTCTGTGAAAGGTCACCTGAGCCTGCCACTCCCCTGAGCCTGCACAGGACAGCCAGGGTGAGGGACACTGCAGTGCACATCCCTCTTATGCTGGGATCGCCGCTGCTGCAGGCAGGACTGCTCGCAGCAACTCAGCCACCAGGTGGATCTTGCGAGCAGAATGGTTTGTTACCAAAAGTGGGCTGTTTTTCTGAAGTATGGAAACAAAATGTGTACCATAGACACCATCCTGCTATCCCAGGGGAAGCCAGATGGGGAAGTGTGGGGGTACAGCTGCTACAGATGATTTTTAGAGGCCAGTGTGAAATGTCCTGTATGAAGGCCACATCTATTTTCAAGTAGTGCTCTGCCACATTCCACAGCAGTTCTGGACTGGGCTTAACCCTCACCCCAGGGGACAGCCATCCATCCAGGCCAGCTCAGGTGTGTGCAGTTTGTGCTTACTATGAAAAGGGAGCATTTCCTTCAGCACTATCAGGTGTTGCTGGGCAACTGCAGTGATTTCATGGTGGTTCATACCAGGCCACATTGGACTGCTTTTGGCTGTACTGGGCAGCTGCTTTCACAGCATAATTCCAAGGGGTGGAACAAACAGGAAAATACTAACATGAAAGAGCTGTTAGAGGAGGATTGTGTGGGAGACAGAGGGCTGAGCAGGTAAATGCTGATTTCTGCTGCCATCCTAGGGAACAGGAGAGGAGACACATAATCATCCCATTATCCCAGTGTCTCCTGGTTGCCCTCTGGATCTGTGGAGGCGGCCAGCCCTGAGCATTCCTGCAGCCTGACAGGTTCCTTCCTGCTCCACAGGCACCTCAGTCCCTGGCCCTGGTGAGGGTGCGGTCTGCCCGCACAGGCTGCTCCATGCCCAGACAAAGCTGGATCCTGCATTCCTTCCCTCCATGCAGCTTTAGGGTAGCACAACACAATGAAGCTTCCCAAGCTGTCTATCCCCTCTCAACACAGTTCTCAGTGTTCCCATTTGGATCATATCAACCAAAAGAATTCTGTCCTTAAAGGGATTTTAACTCCTCTTCCTTCCCCGTTGTTTCCCCAAGTGTAAGAGAACTCAAGGAAGATGGCAAGTGAAAAGCAAAAGGGAATCTTATTTCCTTCTTTTTTTCTATTACCTGTACAATGGATGCACCAACGCCACCATTGAGCCAAACCCAGTGGATGGTGGGAATGATTCCATAGCCAGACACGGAGCAGAAGATGATGGAGCGCAGCCTGTGCCACTGCTGTGTGAGGTAACTGGGGTGGATTTGAGCAAAAAACACTGCCAGGATCATGGCCAGCACAGTGATCAAATACACCTGGCGCCAGTACTGAGGGCAGAAAGAAACAAGGCAAGTTTGTGGAGTGCAAAAGTCAGCTCTGGGCAGAAGATTTCAGTGACCCCACCCTGTCCCTGCTGCGAGCACCAGCCATGGGTCCGAGTGCAGGGCCCTGTGCTTGTCAGCTGGCATTGAGCGCAGGGGGCTCTGTTCTGGGGGGCACCTGGCACTACATCCTTCATGCCAAGCACTTCCTGCACCAAATGTTTTCAATGCACCTATGCCTCACCAGCCCCATTCAGCTCCTGCACAGCCATGTCCACGGCAGGACTTGAGGGGGAGCTGATTAGATGGAGGGAAAACAAGGTTGTTTCTGCCTCACAGCAGCTACCTTGTGGGCAATGCTGTTTGAGTAAGGTATCTGTGATGGGGCACGTCCCATGACCAGCCTCAGGCACTGGATGCAGGTAGGACCTGTCAAGTTTCCCTGTCTTGAGAGAAATTTAAATATTTTCCTGAGGTTTGTGCAATCAACAGCTGGAAAGGAAAACCTGCATTTGCCTGTCTCTTCAGCTGGTAGAGTTCTCCTGAGGTCAGAGTGGCGTGTTCCAGTTCCCATCCCTGCCTCCCAACTACTGTTCTCTTTAAACACCTGCACTAAACCCCCTTCCTGCAGCACTACAGTGAGACCACACAAACTAAGGCCTGGAAGGACACGTGCTCCTGACTCACGTTACTGCAGTAGAAGGCATAGAACACGCCTGACACGTAGCAGCCCAGGATCCCGATGGAAATGCCTGCATAATCCAGCGCCATCCAGCGCCGGCTGGTCTTCTCAGAGCGGTGACAGCAGAACAGGTGGTATCCGACTGAGCAAAGCATGCAGACCTACACAGAGGGCCAGAGGAGGAGGGTTAATTCTTTACAAAGGAGCAGGGAGCACAGCAAGCTTCAGCCCTGCAGCTGGAGCAGGCACCTGGCCCGTGACCCACCTCGGTGCAGGCACTTGTGATCCCTGCCAGCCGGCCATAGAGCGTCTCTGGCAGGGGGGAGGAGGAGCAGGACGCTGCAAACCACGGTAACCAGTTGTGCAAGTAACACAAGTGGGCTCCCGAGGCTGAGAGAGCTGACAGTGCTCCAGGGAGACACGTCCACACCAGTACAGGGGGAGGATGAATTCTGCTGGGCCAGAGTGCCACAGACAGAAGCCGAAGTCCAAATCTGCCCTGACTGCCCAGCACCCACTGTGTGCCTTGACTGAGGGAACACGCAGAAATTTAACTCTTAGTCACAGGCTGCTTGTTTGCTCCTAGGCTGGCTTAAAATCTTTTCCCTGAGAAGTGTTTCGTTCTCTGTGGCCTTCTGCAGGAGCAGGGAGGAGCACTAGAGCCACTTGTGGCTGGACAAAGGCAATTCTGTACCCTACAGAAAACACAAATGGTGTCTTTAGCCCTTCTGTGCTCTCACAAGGACAGCGTGCTGCACAGGAGCTGCAGGCGCCCACCAGAGACACGCCTCAAGTCTGACAAGTAAGAAGTGAGGCCAACAGCCCTCCTGCTCTTCCCCACCATCAAGCCACGGCTGATCCCTGTGCTCCGGTACTTGGCCTTTTCCAGCAGCACCTGCAGCCACCTCAAACCCCCTCAAACTGCGGAAGCTCTGGGACACGGCCCGGACAAACGCATTTGTGTACCACGGACTCCGTCCCGTGGCAGCTGCGTTCAGTTTCCCGCAGCTGGCCGCAGGTCAGGTCCGGCCCAGCCGCGGCGGCTTTACCCCGCGGAGCGGTGGCGCCGCGCCCTCGCTGTCCCGCACCGCGCCCTCGCTGTCCGCACCGCGCCCTCGCTGTCCCGCACCGCGCCCTCGCTGTCC